TCTCTATACAACGAAAGGAGACTGCGACCACACAAAAGGCCACACTATCTTGATATTTATACCTTCGGTTACTTATTCTGTTCTAATTACCTTTAGCCATCACTGCCGGTTTCGTACATATGCGAATACCTGCAGGCACATACAGACAGACACACTTACATGCCATGAGGTTGGCATATGACTGGAACTAGCTAATTCACTTTATATCGCATCAAATATGTCAGATATAGAATGTATATAGAGCTTTTATGGACGAGCCTCTGAGTTTTATTGACTCATTAGCTTGAATATTGTTGTAAGGATAATATCCTACTCTGATAATGTCCATCATACGACGAACGAAAGCTTAGAGCGAATCAAAGGAGATTACTTCGATAACAACATCAACAAGAATGTTCCATTAAGGCCAATCGACTACTAGCCAAGAGGAATCTGCCATTGTCTTCTGAATCGGCTGATCTTGTAATATCTTCACCAGACACTTTTACTCGAAATGGAAGTAAGCTCAACAATTCCATTTATATTTATATCTAGTTAAAATTGGCTATTTGCCATTCAAATTGTATCCATTTCTTCTTGAATTTATGCCACCTCTTGCCTTATTATGTGCCCCTTCCGATAGCGTGAAATTCTCAGGCGTATCAATCATTCAACTGGTTCCATCACCAACCCGGGCGCAGAAACTTCCAGCTCAAGCGCACATACTGGGGAGGCAGCTGCAGCTTATCTACACGTCGTGAAGCTGCTTCTGGAACGTTCAGCTCCTGTCCTCTTCGATTCAGAATTTGGATCCCATCTGCTAATGCATCTAGTTGTGGCTCATGATCTCGAGGCTAGTCGCACCGGAGTTCGAGTTAAAGATCACTTAGCTAAGGTCCAGCCTCCCACTAGAAAGTCTTTGAACTCGAGCAACTGGATCGCTAACGCTGGGCAGACACTGCCTACCCTGCGTGGCCTGCGGCTTTTGCTCCCATTGACTCTTTTCTTTCGAGTAAACCCGATGTAACAAAGAATTTTTAAATATCTTATTGTTTCTTGTGTTTATGATTACTTGGTTCCATATACCCACTTTTAATTAGAGCCATAGGATTCTCAGGCGTAATTTCGGAATGAAAATCACTTATACTCTTTGACAAGACTTCACAATGTTTTCAATCATTTCTCGTTAATTTATTTTTCGGCACTTTGTAGCTTCCAGCTAGAATTTTGTTTTTACTTCACGTTTTCTTATCCAGATGATGTATGGAAGCCATTTGAAAATGGTCAGATGGAAGTAACCTATACATAACAAGATCATTGTTCTATAATATCTATTATATGATTCAGGCTATCATTAATTGTCACAAGGCAGGCTTTTATAGCCGTGCTGAAATTATTTTTTAATTCATGAATCTTTGACTTAACTCATATTAGAGACCATTTCTCCTATCAGTCATTTTTGTATGTTAATTTTAATATTAGAGAGGGCGGTGCTCGTTTTGATGAATGAAGTAAATCTATGCTCTTTCTTGCCTAACTATTGTGTTCATAGACAAGCCTGACGGTTGGTCACAAAGTTTTTTCATCAATATACGATGAATATTTGAAATTTGTGATTTTAGCACATTATTATTGGTATAATACTTTGAGGATGATTATGTTCTTTAGAGTCTGTCACATTTATCCATTTACATTATAATTTAACTGCTTCAGTCGCTTTGCCATACATTTTTATCTCATTGGTTTTATATGCCTTGCATAACTTCTCTCAGGGTTTAATTGTGATTCTTTCCAACTATGTTGCATTGTAGGAATTTAACTTTGAATTCTACTTAAGCCGAAAATCCTACAATATGTTCTTTATTCATGTGCCACTGTGTTAATGTTTGGGTTTTGATTTTTCAATTACTTTATTCCAATACGAATTATACTTTTTCCATGGTGCACCGATTTTCAAACCCATTTTTATTCATTATGCCAGATAATTAGATAAATTTATTTTTGACATTGCAATCACATTTGATCAAGGTCTTCACTTTGGAGATATTTGCCATCCGTTGACCTTTCGAAATGAAGCATATTCTATCATTTAACTTTTTTACCTTGAATTATTCGTCGCCTTTTCTCTTTACAGGAGACCCTACCTTGTGATGAGCTGATAGACTATCTTATCAACTTGTTGATTGAAACCGCAAAGGATCAGCATGTTGATTCCTACGAGATAGAAATCGATCAACCAGATGACGCTCACACGGTGGTGGAGTTGACTCTCAAGGTCGGTCTCGACTTAATTATCTGATTCTTGATCACTCTTATTCATCCCTTTAGTGAAAAATTTGCGTTGTTTTTTATTCATTGACTTATCATTGTTTTTTTAATTTAAAACTTATAAAAATGGTCCTTGAAAATTTACTTTTTTTATTAGTCCATCTTTTCACCTTAATGCTAAATTTAACTATTTTACTACAAAAGGGTTATATATGAAGTTATTCCTTCTCACGCAGTTATTAGGTTCTCGTACACACGAAGACCTTCTTGGAGAAATGTGTTTATTGTGCCTCAATTATAATATTATTTAGGCTTAATAGGAAGACAAAGATTGTGTGGTCTTTTGTTTGGTAGCAGTTTCTCTTTTAGCTGTATATGGTTGGTTTGACCTCATCTTCGCAACTTTGTCGGAGCGGCAGGCAGACTGTTGTACATGCCATAGTATTTAAGATAAAATCCAGCATCGTATAGGTACTAGGTGCATTCCCAGACGTTTTGCCGGCATATTCGATGAGAGGCGTCATTCCTAGCAGAGTTACATGTTCGATGTTTGCACTCATCTTAAGTACTATGGCAAAGAACCCGGGACTAGTTACGTTCCACATTCTCCTTGTCGCTCCTAATAAGTTGCACAAACGAGGTCAGACCTCATTATATTATTTCTTTATTATCTACACATTTTTGTCTATGATATATTTAGCGTTGTAAGACGGCAGTTCTCCTTTCGAATACGATTCATCTACTATGTTCCTTTGCTAATCGGGTTTTATCTTTCACCTTTTATTTATATTTTCAGATATTTTATCATCTCATCGGAAACTCTGATGCGATTGCGGAGTCCC